GGCACCGATTAATTATTGTAGATGAAACTTGGATACACCATTATACACCCGAAACAAAAATACAGTCCAAACAATTTGCAAAGGGGGAGCCGGGTACAAAAATAGCAAGAACTTATTTTCGGCTGAGAAAGCGATGGCGGCTGTTTTTTGGGATATTTGGAGTTATTTATGTGGGAGTTATTTCAATCGATTATCTTCAAAAAAGAAAAAAAACATCACAGGAGCATAATACGCATCATTACTTGACAAGATGAAGGCAGAACTTGCGAAAAAACGGCTACATTTGCAGAAAAAGAAAGACAACGCACCGGCTCACATCTCAGCGGTTGCCAATGCGAAAATCCACAAATCACGGTTCGAACTGCTTGACCATACGTCTCAATCACCAGATCTAACCCCAAGCGACTTTTTTTTTGTTCTCTCATCTAAAAATTGCACTCGGTGAATAGAGATTTTGCAGAGAAAAACACCGAGTACCCACTATTTGGACCGGTTACAGAGATGGGAGACTATGGTGAGAAATAAAAAATAAACTGAAAAAATGCCTCGCATCTTAGTAAGGTTAGGTTTCAAAGCATTTTTGTTAAAGCCATAAACCGCGAATGGTAGAGAAGGGACAGTTATCCCAAAAACATGCTTGGCAGAAACACTTACTATACACCAATGGATCAAAAACCAAACACTAAAGAGGAGCTGAAATTTACTGTGAGGTTAGAAATTTACAATTCAATCGGTCAATTCACATCAGTCTTCCAGGCTGTAGTGTATGCAATCCTGTAATGTACAAGGAACATTGATTTGAGACCTCATCGAAATGCGTGAATCAACATTTTTACAGACACCCAAGCGGCATACTGATGAAACCAAATATGATATAGAGACTGGTCTGGACATGCATGCCGTGAAGAACTGAGAAAACTGACGGACGGAAATAGATTTAATCTATACTGGCTACCAGAACGCTCAGGTAAGACATATAACGAAAAAGCTTATGAGTGTGCCAGACACGGAACATCAACTCTATATATATAGGCACAGAACGATATATCGAATCAGATTGGAAAGTGGATTCATAAGAAACATAAATAGGTCCTTCTGGTAATATCACAAACATTTTACATGGGACCTATACATATTCATACAGGGAACAAAATTTTTGAAATGGGAGTCAAGAAAAGATGGAGAAAATGCAATAAGATCATTAAGATGCACTGTTTTTTGTAAACTAGTAAAAAATAGACGAGATAATATTACTGGTGTTTTTTCCCACGTGTTTCGATCACCAAGTAATCACTTGGTGATCGAAACACGTGTCGGGGAGTTGAAATAACGGTTTGGTGTTGGGAAAAAACTCCAGTAATATTCATTACTACACTAAAGGTGCCAAACAGTGCATCACAAAAAAATAGACGAGTTAGATGGCTCCCAAGTAAAAGAAAGAAAAGGTCGATTAAGAAAATAAGTTGAATTATTGTATGGCAACTATATGTTGGATTATGTTGTTCCTATTGATGTTGTGTGCTAGCAATTTTGGGGTATGATAAACCTAGAACCCCTGGCTTAAAATGAATACTTGCTTTAAACTCGCTGAAGACTTTAGACTCGCTGAATAAAATTAATACTCGCCACCAAGATTGTATAATCAAGAAACGACTGAGACTCAGCTTTCTTTTTGTCATCTCCTCATGATACTTACTTGGTGAGCAAAACGCGTGCCAAGAGTTAGCATTTTCTTACACTTGAGACAAAAGACCAATCAAAACAGTGGATCCAAAGGGAAGAACCGGCTTCAAAGAAGGCGAAGACCGCTTCATCTGCAGGCAAGGTCATGGCATCGGTTTTTTGGGATATACTTTCCCTTTGCCTTCATAAAGGCAAAACTATCAACAGCGAGTATTATGCGAAATTATTGCAACGTTTGAGTGAAGAAATCCAGCTGAAACGGCCGCATTTGGCTGAAAACAAAGTGTTGATTCATCAAGGTAACGTGCCAACTCACAAATCCATCATTGCATTCACCAAAATTAACGAATTAAAGTTTAGATGGCTACCTCGTGCACACTATCTGCCAGATTTAGCCCCCTTGGATCATTTTCTGATCCCAAACTTGAAAAAATTGGCTCAGATGGCTCAGAATGAGTGATGTCGACAGTTAATGGCTATTTTGAGGAGCAAGACAGTTATTATCATAAAAACAGTATCGAACTTATTGAACGTTGCTGAGAAAAATGTATAGAGCTGCTAGGAGATTGTTTTCCAAAATTTTTTGTTCTTTTTTTCGTTGGGCCGGGTACTTCTGGAACCTCCCTCGCATATACATCAGTATCTGAGACATAAGGAGTCAGGTTATTGTTGGTACGTCCTATATTTTGGATAACCTCGTAGAAACCACTTGGTGCCCCTTTTTAACTGACGGGGATCTTTCCTGAAAAAAGTCCCCCCAAAAATTCACTGAGAGCGTATGGCCTATAGTAAATTTGCATATCTATTTGAAAATTTGTTAAAATATCATCTTTGTTGACATTTTGTAGGTCTGAAGATTTTGGGGATCTTATACTATTTGCTCTTCAATGAAAATCGACTTATTCATCATGTCCTTAACTGAGGATTTTTGATTTTTATTGGAAGCAATGTACAAAACATCAAATTATATTCAATAAACTATTTCATTTCATCTCGTTTTTTAACATATTCAATATCCTACTCTTTCAATGTCAGTTTTTATAAACGATAAATTTTATATGAAGAGTGATTATGTTTTCTACTTTTCAATAAAAATAATAGAGAGAAGCCATATTGGTCTTTCAATTCTCTATTCAACTGGTTAGTTTTTTGAGGACGTATCAGCCGTTCCAGAGTAATTATCAGCTATAATATCCCAAGGACATTGATAACTAACGAAATAATTTTATCACAGTTTTCGAAAGCACGTTATTTGGTAACATCCCGACGCCGAAGGCGGAGGGATGTTACCTAAAATAACGTGCTTGAGGAAGTTGTGATAAAATTATGAGTTATTTATCAATGTTCGAGGGATATTCGGTGAGAAAATTTTTTGCAATTCGAACAAAATTATTTATTGAACACACAGTTAAAAAGAACAATTCGTATAATGATATAACTCCATAAATATTTTCCAAGTGTATTTTTTACTATTGACAGTATTTTTTGGTGTATTTTCTTCAATTATTTTGTCAATTGCCGCATCATTTTAAACACCAAAGCGAGGAAGTGACATTTTCGAAATAAATTGAATTACTGAAATGTCAAACAACTTTATTGTGTTGGTTGCTTAGCAATGTCATGACATAAGTGATAACTACCCGTGAAAACTATCCATGGGTAGTTATCAGTGTAATGATGGTTTCATTGGTTATTTCGACACACATGACTAGAAATAGACAAATTTGATAGGATAATTTTTTTGGCAAAACATTTTCAGCCTTATCAGCTCTGTTTTACAATCTGCATAAAAATATCATAATTTAAATAAAAATTTCAAAATTCACTTCAGTCTATCCCAATAAATATTCGAAATGTTCACCAGTTACTTCCTAACAATAATGTCTGCAAATTCATTTCTTACCTTATGGAATATTCCTAGGGTAATTTTGTTGCCAACAACCCATTTTGTATTCACGAGTTTTGAAATGAACAGCGGTAATCTGTTTAAAAAACAGATTACCGCATGTATCGTATACTGTTGATATCCCCTCAAAAACATTTAAATTCATCATATCAGGTGATCTACTGGACCACTGTGAAAGTTTTTATGTATGGATGTATGTATGTTTGTGGCTCTTTCATGCCTAAACGACTGAACTGATTCGGATGAAACTTTACATAAATACAGCCTATACATCAGAAAAACATATAGGCTACAATTCACAAAGTCAATAAAATTCTTGATCCCTGAGAGCTATCTTGGCGTACGCTGCCTATACCGTTGGAGTAACATGCACAATGTACATTTTAGAATATCTGTCAAATTCTTATGAAAATTGATACAATTGTCTGAACGTGATTGACAATGAAAATTGATACAATTGTCTTTTCGAGTATATAATATAGATAAACTTTGTGTTTTACACTAAGTAATTCAGACAAATCATTCAAAAGTTATCTCGATAAAATTAACTTGACCCAACGCAGTGAGACATTACGCGTCGCGTTTACTGTAAGACGACGGGGGCGGTCTAAGCAATGAAGCGCCATCGCCAAAAACGCGACCCTAACGCGGGCAGATGCGTGAGGGCAGACGTCCTTGACAGTTGTGTTAGTTTTGCGAATTTATTTATAGGTAACATAATTCGATTCTCGAAGGTATTCGTTACTTGTGCAGTGCAGTTGGCATATTTTTTTAGTAAAAATATAAATTAATAGCTGTTGCCCGCTCCTATATCAACGTGCAGCCGAAGCTACTAAACCTAGAATCTTGAAATATGCAGGTAGGTTCTTTGTGTAGCGTAAATAAGCATCAAGAAAGGGAATCAGGAATTTCCACTCCCAAGGGGGAAAATAGGGGTTCATAGATTGTATTAAATTTCGTCAGTTTTGAAGTAGGAAACCTGAAGTTTTGGGTACGACCACTTCTAAAACATATGAAACAATTCCTTAATATGCTTCATTTTTTGTCAGAAAGTGGATGGCAGACTTTTTGAACCTTTTTAATGAAATTATGATATCTATCGTTTGTTAACAGATCCTTCAAACGAATACAGAATTGCCAAATATTTCAGATTGGCTGGCTGGATTTCCAAAAATAAACCGTAGTTGAGTAGAGATTCAAAAGATCTATTAAACTACGTATCACGATATCTTAATTTTCTTTTTATTCAATCTCCTTGAGAATAGGGAGGGGAATTTTCACGTCCACAGTGCATAATTATAGGAACCCGACCAATAACCAAAATAAACCCGAACGACTTCAGGAAAGATTTGCAGAATAATTTCGAATTCCAACTCGCAAAAAAACGAAACTCCTACATACACAAAAAATTCAATCTACGATACGTGGCAGTCATCGGTCCCTCCCTGCGCCTCCCTCATTTGCTGTTTGGTTTTTCTGCTGGCCCTCCTGATGAGGGACCTGGACCGTGGTTTCATTAAAGTGTCTTTTCCTTCGGAAGGTCCGGCTTTGTCCTTTTCGGGTGCGGGGCTGGCGTTTCTCCTTCCCCCCTTGTTGGAGACGTAAGCGCTGGAACGACGCTTAAGCCCTCCCGCTTCCTCCGGGTCGCGCGGGAAAATCCGGGAGAGGGTCAGGAATGTGCGGAATATTTCTTTCACGTTGATGTCGTCTTTCGCCGAGCACTCCAGGACTTTCACCCTGGAAACGAAAAATTCGTCAGAGACAAAGCGGGTTGAGAGGTTTAGTGTGATGGAGGGTATTGTTATTCAAAGCCATCGGAAATGAAACTGGGTTTTCCGTGATGTTGATCTGAATACTTTATCTAATGAAAAAGTTAGCGGAGGAACATTGTGCATTAGAATGCGTGATCAGTGTTAGTCAGAACAATTTTTTTTTAAGTTATTATGATTGGCCAAACTTGTAGTCAGTTTGGATTCCAGGAAACTAAGAGCAATACTGAAGGAAATATTTATGAAAATGAATGAGGCTGAGGCAATAGTAATAATAGGGGAGTCCAAGCGGGGATTTCGGGATTCACTAAAGCGCGGCAGATTAATATACAGGGGGATACCTGTATATTACCTCCACCAAATATGAGCCCCATATATAAGGCCGCCTGTGAGGGATAAAGGATCAGATTAGTAAAAAAAAATTATCATCAGAAATTCTTGAGCGCGTCAGATTAAGGTAGGGTGAGTTAATTACCTGCTGAAAAGTGTATATTCCAGTAATCTGACAATTTGAGAGTGACATAACGAAAGGGAAGGGCAGCAAAGTTGTAGAAAAATAACTTCATTACAACATTTTCGAGCGTAGCTAATTTTTGTTTTATTTTGAAGGAAATAATTCAAGGATAACGAAAAATATATAATCTGACGATTTCCGCAAGCCGAAATAACAAAAGTTCGTCGATAAAGTTTAATGCGTGCAACTGTGTGATACCTATATTTCCCTCTCCAAGTTTCTATTCCTCTATTCTCTATTCACTTTTTCTCTATCTATTACTCTCTCACTCCGTCCCCACTCTGAATTCTGTTGCCATGACGCCATCACGAAACTTATATATTGTAAGAGTTTGAAAATGTCCTTATATATTGTATAAGGTTGAAAATGTCTTTATAGGAAGAAACTGCAGTAACGTTAGTTACAAATGAAAGTGGTAAAAAACATAGAAAAACCAATTTCTCTTTTCTTCATCAATTATCCAATTGATTATGAAAAATTAAATTTTTTTGAGCATTTTTATAAAATTATTTTCTTATAAATACAAGTATTCCACTTAAAAAAACATACACTTATTTATATGCATGCTATTTCCTGAGCTTTTCAATTAATTAAGTTCAATGAACTAAAAAAAAAATAAAAAAAATATTATTTTTGTCAGATCAAGCAAATCCCTCTAGATAATCGTCAGATTATGAGAAAGTACATCTAACACATGAAGATGAACCATATATATCTTAATCTGACGCACTTGAGTATTTCAAAATGGCGAATTTTTTTTGCACATTATAATAATGGCCGCGAGTTTGCGTCAGATCGAAATCGTCGGATTATTGAATGAGAGCTTTTTTTTGTTGCACTTAACACCCCCTTAGAAAATCTGATGCGCTCGATAAATTTTTTTTTTCACTTTCAACCCTTACGTACAACCACCCACATCATGCAAACGATCAGATTAACATACCATTACATTACATACCATAACATTATTAAAAATACGTATCAATATCTGACGCACTCGAATATGTCCATACAAAAGTATTTTTTTACATATCTATAGCCGCTTCACCCACCGATGAAAAGGTATATATTATATAACATTTTTTTCTTCATATCATCTAAGCTTTGCAACCTAATATGTCTCAAAGACGCTCGAGTAAATCCCCATTTTGCATCGTGGGCTTGCCCGCTATAACAGTGTTTTGTGACCTCACAAAAGCAATCGACTGCATGGTTCATTCAATTCTTTTGAGTAAATTAGAAATATATGGTTTTAGGTATGTTGCTTTGAGATGGTTTCGATCATGCGTGTCAGACCGTAATCTCCGTTGATACTGAAACTTCCAAATCCCAGTCAGTGACTTAGAGGGTCTTTCAGAGTTCAGTTCTCGGCTTATTGTTATCTCTGAGGAACATAAATGACTTATCTCTCATTGATGAACATCGTCGACAGATGGTGCAAGCATGAGAACCTCTCAGTGAATGCCGAAAAAACCACTGTCTTCGTGTTCACAAGAAGAAGAGTGATGAGATGAGATGAGAGTGATGAGAACCACCAATACTCAATGAAATGGAGATCCCTTTCGCGATGGAAGTCAAATACTTGAGTGTGACTTTCGATCACAGGCTCACGTGAAACCTCCAAATCCAAAAAACAGCACATAAGGCCAGGATGGCCCAGCAGAAGAATGTGCAGAAAAAACTGGGGGCTGAACACAAAAATGACACTCTGGTTATATACAAGGGTAGTGAGACCCATGACAACATACGGTGTAGTGACTTGGTGGACAAGAACAAGGCAATCGGGTGAAGCTAGGCTATTAGGCGGTATACAAAGGCTGGCGTGCCGAAGTTTCGCGAGAGCCATGAGAACGACCCCAACTGCAGCACTTGAGGTCCTATTCGGACCTCCACCATTGCACATCTACATACAAAGAGAAGCTCGACTGGTGACACACAGGTTAATGCAGGGGCAAACCCCGATCAGCCAGTCACACGGTGCAAAATACTTGAAAATGTACAATCAACTGAAGGCAGATCCATTCAAGGAGCTAAGTACCCAAAATACGGTCACTCTAGCTTGAGTACCCGTATTTGAGGGTTACAAGGGCAATGAGGATGTCGATGTCCTATGATCGGCCCAGAACTCTTCTGCGGGGTAGCGAAAGCTACCCCGCAGAAGAGTTCATGAAGAAACCATCGCCAAGATTCACGGAAGACCTGCTAAATCACAATCGTAAGGTTGTAAGGGTGGGTCTATTGACGGGGCTTAGCTGACTCACGAAACATATGAGCAACATGGGTCTGACAGAAGAAACCTAATGCAGGTTCTGTCAAGAAGATGAAGAAACCGCACTGCAGTGCTCTGTGAATGCGAAGCGATAGCAAAGCTGAGACACGCAAGGTGCAGGGAAGAGATACCAGGGGCTGCCAGCTATATGAAGGGGTCAGTGTCAAGGCTATGGAGTCTCATCAAAGAGATCAAGGTATATTGTGAGCTCTAACAACCAAGGAGTATAACAGTAGAACTGGAAAGGTCCCAGTGAATCAGGCCATGGGCTAGCTCCCCGACAATCTAATATATCTCTTATCGATATCGAAGGAGAATTTCAATATGTCTGCTAATAACAATACAGTAGTGTGGCATTCAAGGAACAAGGATGAACTCAATAATAAAATTGAGGGCGATTTAGATAGAGTTGAATAGTGGTTTGATGTAAATAGTCTATATTTCAAGTTCACAGAAACCCGTATTTCAACTTTCAGATGCGTTTTGAATGAAAGCAAGCTAGAACATTCGACAAGCAGCTGGAAGTCAACAACAAAATGAAGGATTATGTGTTGATGATAATCTCTTGTTTCAGATGAATTGTCTTTATGCGTATCGAGAGCCGTATATTTTGAATTGATTGAATCCCAGCTCAATTATGGACTTTGATTCCGAGAAAACACCTCTCGGGCTTGTGCAGTAAGCCCCTGTTCATTGCACGAAAATTATTAACATAGACTAGAATTTTCATATTTCAAAGTGTCGATAGCTGAACCCACATTGGAGAAAAATTCCATAATATATAATGTCAATGAAATATTGAATCACTTGCCAGTACATTTTCTATCTATATTTAGTCATAAGGAACCCAAGAAGACTGTGAAATGTTTTTTGCTACATTAGACCTCGGACGAATTTTATGAAGAAAATATATAAATTATGAAATTTTGATATTACTGGTATTGATCTGTTTTGAGATCTAACTTTTATTGTACTTCTATTGGATTTCTGTAATTGTATCGTCAATAATTTTTTTTGTATTGAATGTGTATTTATATTTTTCAGTTGAAAGTTTCTTTCCTTATTTCTCTTGCCCTCTAATATTCCATCAAACGCTGATCGAAAACTCTCTAATTTCGTGAGACACTCAAACAACAGAGTAATGGCTTTATTTATGGCTTACCATCATAAAATTTCTGAGTTGTCAGTTTTACGATTTCAAGAAACTTCATGGTATGGTAATGAGCTTCTGCCCTCTGAATGTAATGTAGAACCGTTTTATTGAAATTGATAACTCATACTGAATACCTATTCACGGCCGAATTCTTCTTGCACAATTTCACGGATATAGTCCATAACTCAAAGTGAAGTATAAAGTTTTGAAGAGGTAGGCTTTTGTTTCACTGAAAATGATTACAGCTCTGATCGAAACATTTATGTTTTTCCGATTGAATAATTACATATATTTCATATTTACATACTTACATATTTTCGTGTGGAATATTTGTTCCAAGTGTTTGTTCGATTAGCTTGAATCAATTGAAAAGATGGAGCACGAAATAATTTCGAATTGAGAAAGTATGAAAAGGTATAGCTCATCCATGAAATCACACTGATATCTTCGCAGTAATTACATATTCTTTGTATTCGTACACGGTCTACTGACAACGAAACACAATTTCATTCTTAGGTCTTCTTCAAAAGGAACCATTATAGAGCGTGACTCACGGTCGATGGTAGGTTAGACGTTTCTGGAAAATGCAAAGCATGATTTTTCTGAAAATTTCACCTTTCCTATCGATCTAAAATATTTTCAGCATTGCGGCGTTGCCACTTCCATCAAAAAGTCCTAGCAACTTTATTTTTTTAAATGGAACACCCCGTATATTAATACATTTTTGGAATCGCTCTGGTATTTTGATACTTTTTTTTTTGGTAAATTTATAAGGATGCATTCCGTGATTTTTCAAAATTCGTCGTACTGAAGCATGTGATACACCTAAATCTTTTTCTGCACTGCGAATGGAAGCTTCTGGATATGCATAAAAATATGCCAAAACGTTAACAGTATTGTCCTCATTTGAAGTAACAGGTTATGGTAATGTTGAAGGCGCTTTCAACATGGAGCCATAGTTAAGAAAATTATTTTGTAATCTTACAAACTTCCTCTCGTTCATTGGTGTTAATTCAGGATACATTTGGTTGA